CTTTCGCCCAACCGCCTGCTTCTCTTGCAAGTCTAATTTTGGCCTGTTTTTCCAGTCCACTCATTGAATGTACCTATTATTTTATTTACATAAAGTACGTGTTAAGAGCTTTTTTTTTTTTTTTTTTTTTGGAAGTGTTTAGTTTCAACTTTTTCTAAAATTGCAAGGACGAAAATACCTGTGTTGTGCCAACTCCCAGAACAGCGATGAGAACAGAGAATCGGAGCAGGTTGGTGGTGGAGGAAGCCGGGGTGTTGACTCTTCTGTGCTGCCCGGGGCGGCGGACACCCGACCGGCAGGTACCTGCAGGGAATGCTCCGGTGCCCCGCGTGCAACCGTCCAGGCTCCCGAGGAGCGTGCCAGGTGGCCATCTAGGCGAGACGGCGTCGACCTGACTTCGTTCCTCTATCAAGGCGTTCGTTTCGTTTTCAAGTTTACGGACCTTGTTGTAACGAAGAGATTTCCAGGTGGCTCAGCCCTGAGTGTTTCGAGCTCCGTGAGTCTGTGTAACTATGACCTGTCGCTCTGGAGCACTGACAAGGAATTGCAGAGAACAGGTAGATGTTCTAGACTTCGAGTCTGTGTCTGTATCTCAAGTCAAGGCACTGGGATTGTTCTAGCAAACCACCGGAATGAAAGCACCCTCGGTAATCCCGTGTTAACTCATCCACACAAACATGAAACATAAGCTCACACGCGTGTCTTACCTAGAGACCTCAGCCACCTGAGCCTTGTTCAGAGCTCGCAGGGTGTGTGGGGACTGTAGCTTCAGTCATCTTCACTACACACTTGAAATAATGGGAATAAAATGACATGTTGTACAGCATGACTGGCACATTGAATATCTAAAACATAAAATGGCCTTTCTGGAAGCTACTATTTGTGTCAGATAAAAACAAATGCAGCCTGAGGACGGAGCCCAACACCCCCCATCAGTGCAATTCAGGGCAATCCAAACAACCGCAGGCCCAGCCCTCACAGCTGCAGCCGTGCACAACGTGCCGGCCAGCGAGGCAGCAGGGAAGGTGCCGGCGGAGGAGCAGGGCCGGCCTTGCTGGGCAGAGGCACGGCGTGAGGCTGGGGATGCGGCCCCTCCACAGCCAGGGCTGGAGCCGGGGCCGCCTGGACTCTGGTTTCAACCCCACATTTCTCAACCGCAGGGCCAGACGGTAGGTTTGGGGAATCCCAGTCGCTGGAAAGTGAGGGGAAATCCCACAGAGGTGAGACCCAAGGCGCAGCCCCAAACGGTCCTGAGTTCTGCCCAGCGCCTTGGCCGAGTCTTGAAGAGGAGTGTGAGCAGCAGATTCAAAGCAGGGTGGCTGAGGGGACAGGGCCTGAACCCAGAATTGAACCGGCCCCCCAGGGTTACCTGTTTGAGTCCAGCCAAGCGAATTGCTTAGGGTCAGAGAAGCAAAAGATCCCCACCCCCCAAAATACTAAAAGAAATAAAGATGCCACCATTCCTGGAAACATGCAACAGAATCCAGAGTTTGTTTGGGATGACCTCATTCTAGAGACAACGATAAATTATCAGCAGACCCCTCCTGTCTCCCCGCTGCTCCCCTCAGCAGTGTGATTCAGTCAGTCTGCCTGTTCTGCTCCCCGCTCTCTCTGGTGAATCCTCTGGCCCCCGCACCTCTGGCCTGCACCCCAGTTCATGTTTGCATGAATAAATGTTTAAAAAAATGTTTAAAAAATGTTTAAAATGTTTAAAAAATGTATAAATGTTTAAAAAAATGTTTAAATAAATGTTTAAAAAAAAAAGAAGAGACGTGACCTCCGAGCTGCATCTTGCTCTGTCCTGGCCACCCCTGCCTGCTGCTGCGACGGCTGCTCGAGCCGGCACGGGGCAGCCCGAGCCTCGAGTGTGAGGCGTGTGTGCCTCCGACAGCTCTGGCAGAGAAGCAGGCCACAGCGTTTCCAGACGACTCTTTTTAATAAAGCTTGAGCTATTTATATGAATTCAATCATGGGAAGCTTTGAGATTCAAATGAATATGAAAATCATAAATTAGTGATACCCAGTGCCTGGTAAACTGCTTATGGCTATAACTTTAATTAAGACTATTTTCAGCCGGTAACTGCCAGCACCTAGAAGAAAAATTAGACCAGGCTAGACGGAGGGACGACCGGGCGACCACGGACGAGAGAGGACAGACCCACGGGCTGCCCCAGATGATGGCACCCCTTGTCGTGTTTCCTGTACAAATGTCTTAAAATTAGAAGATGCAAGTTTAAAGCCCCCTCTCCGAAGGCCAACGTCCCAGCTCCAGAAGATTTGACTTACCCGTCGCCTGAGCTGAAGAAACCGGGGCTGCTGTCGTGGTGGCGGTGACCAGGCCGTCCGGGGGCCCAGGGGCCAGCTGGGAACCCACACGCTCCCTCCCCGTGGGGGCCGCGGGCCTTGGGGCCTGCTGGCCTGCCCAGGCTGAGTCCCTTGCTGGGCCTTGTGCTGGGGAGTCTGGCAGCTGGAGCAGGAGGTGACCGGGACCCTCCTCAGCCGTTCCCAGGCAGCTCCTGCTCGGGAGCGCAGGCGAGAGCACAGCCTGCTTGGGTTTTAAATTTTGCATTAATTTTCCAAGCTGCTTCCTGCACTCGCCTTAGACACAGACGCGTTTTGTTGTAGGAGGAAGCGTTGGGAGACCCCAGAGCCCCATGGGTGAGAGGTAGTAGCCGGGCCAGCGTCCACCTCTATGCCTGAGGAAGCTGTCCCGTCGTGTTCCTCACTGTCCAGATGCCCGACCGACAGGGACGGCGTGCCCATTCCCCTAGGACACCCGCTCCCCTGCCAGGGGCTCCCTGGGTGGGGGATCCTCAGATCCACGTGAGTTTGTTCTGTGAAGCATCCATGGGGCAGCGTGGAGGTGGCTTCAAGAGGACAACGGGATGTGAAGGCAGGGCTCACATAGGTTCTGCCAGGACCTGTGGATACTGACCGCATGCCTGTCCCCAGGTCAGTGGGCACTGACCGCAAGCCCGTGCCCAGGATCTGTGGGTGCTGACCACATGCCCGTCCCCGGGTCAATGGGTGCTGACTGCAAACCCGTGCCTGGGGTCTGTGGGTGCTGACCTCACGCCTGTCCTTGGGTCAGTGGGTGCTGACCGCAAGCCCATCCCTGGGTCATTGGGCACTGACCACAAGCCCATGTTCAGGGTTTGTGGGTGCTGACCTCACGCCTGTCCCCAGGTCGGTGGGTGCTGACCACAAGCCCATGCCCAGGGTCTGCGGGTACTGATTACACGCCCATCCCCGGGTCTGCGGGTGCTGACCACACACCTGTCCCCGGTTCTGTGGGCACTGACCACATGCCCATGCCCAGGGCCTGTGGGTGCTAACTGCACATCTGTCCTGGGGCTGCCGCAGAGGCCCGTTGGGCGGCTTCAACATGCAACTAAAATGCAATCGGCAGACGTGACCGCTTGGGTGAATAGACTCATTTTAAATTAGTTTTTCCCAAACACTGGTCATCCTGTGCTGGCCAGGCCGACGTGTCTGCGTCTTAAATCTTAGCAAAGATTTATTTTCACCCATTATTCACAATTAGGGCATTTTGCTATTTTTAGTGAAATTGATGGCGCTTTGATAAAGCCACGTGCGTGTGTTTTTTGCTGCGTGCCCTAGAAGCCCGTGTTTTAATTCATCCTCATTATTTCTATCTGCTTGTGGGCATTGCTCACATCACGATTCTAATGATTTTTTTAAAATGGAATCAGTTGGCAGCAGGGACCCTCATCCCGAAATCCTGAACGCGTCCAGGACTGGTGCTGCCAGAGGCTCCAGGCTCTCAACCCTGTCGCTCCCGTTGTCCCGTCTGCTCGGCTCTTTTGCTTTGAAAACTCCCGTGTTCACTCTCAGCTTTGATCCCTACTTACGTCGTTAGCCGTGCGGGGGACAGTGACAAACGAGGCATTTGTTGCTGCTTCGTGGTTTCTGAAACGCTGTCTCGTCCAACGGGTTTTGGAAAAGTGTGTGATTGTGCCTGTTTTCACCCAGCCAGGGCATGCAAATCTCATCAGGTGCACTCCCGGGGCGGGGGTCACCCTCCAGGTGTCCTCGCGTCGGGCGGCTGTGTGTGGTCGGCCTGCTGAGGGCTGGACTGGGCTGGACGTGCACAGCGGGGACACGGCTACCCGCGAGGCGGCCTCGGGCCGAGCTGAGCCCCGGGTGGGGCTCTGGTGACCAGAGCGGGCCCTGGGCGGCTGACCCGCTGTCCCACGCCGTTCTCGACAGCAGAGGACAAACTCCAAAGAGGATGCCATCTGGGGGACTGCCAGGCCCGGGACATGGCGCAGGCGCTATTTGGCCCCCAACAGAGGAGCTGAGCTGATCAGGCCTCTGGCTAGTCCTCTCAGTGAGTTGTCCAGCCCCAAGCTGCTGACCAGCTGTGGGCCAGGCGCCAGCGCCACCGGGGGCTCCTCCCTCCTCCTCCCCAGGGCAGAACCCCGGCACCCTGCTGCTCAGCACTTGAACCGCACACCCTCCCGAGGAAGAGCGGCTCCCTCAGAAGGCCCCCTCCAGAGCAGCGCCTTCCCCCGGAGACACGTGTCCTTACCCTTCAAAAATAATCCTGGGAATGGGCCTCCGGGTGGTGCAGCGGCTGAGCACTGGGTTGCGAAGCTGCCCGCAGCCTCTGCAGTGCCGGTTCGATCCCCGGCCACCGGCGAGGGTCCCACATGGCACGCAGACCTCTCCTGCCGCCCGCTGCTCCCCTCAGCAGTGTCCTTCGGTCCTTCTGCCTGTTCTGGTCCCCGCTCTGGCTCTGGTGAATTCTCTCACCCTCCCGCGCTTCTGACTGTGCCTAGTGCTTGTGTAAATAAATAAATCTTTAAAAAAAATAAAATAATCCTGGGAAAGTGACATGACGCCTGCCCTGATGAACCTCAGGCACAATCAGGCAATCGGGCCCGTGCCTAAGTGCCTCGGTGCCAGGCTGCGCCCGCTTGTGACAACAGCCGGTCCGTGGACAGTCTCTAACCCTGGCCTCTGCCCTCCTCCCACAGTCCTGCCGAGCCGCGCCTGCGGGACCCCTGGAGAGATCCTGAAGGGCGTCCTCCACGGCACGGGGTTCAACGTCGGGGACAAGGTCCGCTACAGCTGCCTCCCGGGCTACGTGCTGGAGGGCCACGCCACCCTGACCTGCATCCTCAGCCCCGGCGCCGGCGCCTCCTGGGACTTCCCGGCGCCCTTCTGCCGAGGTGGGTGGGGCCCCTGGCAGGGGAGGGGGCGGGGCTCTGGCCCTGGGGGGAACCCGGGCTGGGGGGGCTCTGGGGGGGTCCTGGGGGGATGGGCTGGGGGAGTCCTGGGCTGGCCCTGGGCTGGGGGGGCCTGGGTGGGGAGAGGCTCTGGGGCTGGAACCAAGGTCTGCTCCCAAGAGGAATCTTGTCTGTGGTGAGGACGCTGGACGCCATGAAATTCAGATCTAGCCTCAATCATCAAATTTCTTCTTGACGCCGCTGCCCAGCCTTGCCGGGCTTTCCCGCCCCCGTCAGCTCCGCGGTTCCCCCTGTACCCTCCTCCCATGACAGACGAGGCCGGCCCTACGCCCTCAGCTGCCCCCCGGCCGCGTCCGCACAGGCGAGCCCCCACCCCAGGTGCCGGTCCTCAGGGTCCCCCGCTGGGCCGCAGGGGCTGCCACAGCCCTGTTTTCCGGCCGCAGCCCTAACGTCGGCACCATGTGTATGTCATCCTCAGCTCCCTGAATTCTCAAAAATTTATTTACTGGGCCTCCCCCGGTGGCGCAGCGGTTGAGCGCTGGGCTGCGAGGCTGCGGCACCTTCTGCGGCGCCGGTTCATTCCCCGGCCGCCGGGGAGGGGCCCACAAAAAAAAAAATTATTTACTTGTCTATTTTTATTGAAGTCCCACTGGCTCACGTCCTGGCTGGGGTCCTGGCAAGGCAGGATCTACCCCTCAGTCTGCCGCTGCAGCCCACCTGTCACCCCCATCACCAAGGCACCCACAGCCCCCCGGGCTCCCCGCCTGTTCCCACCCACTCCCCCTCTGCACGCCTCAGATCTGTGGTCGCCCCTCTGCTCCCTCGCTCCTGGGCGCGGCTGCCCCAGCCTGTGACGCGGGTGAGAGCCGTCGGTGTGAACACGGCCGGGGCGAGGCTCAGCCCACAGAAGAGGCTCAGCCCACAGAAGAGGCTGGGCCCGGCGCCCTCGCGCTGTGCCGCAAGGCCACACGTGACCTCCTGAGCCGTTCTCGCGCATCAGTCTCCTCAGACAAACCCGCGGGCTCCGTGTCTCCGTGGTCTTCCCGTCCTGCAGAGGCTGCCTGGAGTGGGTGGGCCACGCCCGCTCCCCGCCCCTCCCAACGCCCCGGCCCGGCGCAGACGCAGCCCCGGGCCCACTCCCACCCCGCAGTCTGGCTGCCTCCCCAGAGCAGGTGGAGGGGCGCCCCGTGCCCTGCTGGGACGCGCGCCCCACGCAACACTGACTAACAGCAGCTCCATCCCCCGGAAGGAAGGCTGCTCGCCCAGGGAGCGGCGACCTCGTTGCCGTCTGTCTACACACGCGCGCGGGCGATAAGTAGTCAGCGAACGTGTCACAACACATTGTCGCTGCGCTGTGACAGCTTTGGAGAATTAAGTGGCGGCGGCTGCCTCGCTTTTGTTTCCTTTAAGAGCTCGTGGATTTTTGTCCGTTCGAGGACGCGGTGGCTTCCCTGGGCGCGTGAGTGACCGCCGGCCAGCGGCGCCGCGGGGAGCAGCGGGGAGCTCGGTGCCCCTTAATAGGACGGGGAGTGAGAGGCGCCGGCTCCCTTCAGCAGGGGAATCGCACGCTCTTTACTGGATCAGCCCCCCAAAGCCTCCCGCGTGCCACGTGCGACGCTTCATGACCCGTCGCCCGGGTTTCATCGCAGACGTTCGCTGCGCGGGCAACGGGAAGGAAGACTGGAGAGACACGGCTGAGGGGAGCAGGGCGGGGTCAGGCACGTCACGGGAGCCTCTAAATTCTGTGATATTTAAAACCCAGCTGTGGTTGCATCAGCCACCGGAGAAGTGACCTGGCGATGAATCTCACGGAGCCACCAAGCGGGAGCCAGGCCTTGCGCCGTGAGGCTGGCGGGACAGGCCTGGGGCCGGAATCCGGCTCTCAGTCAGGTCTGAGCACCGTCCTGCTCTCTCGCCACGAACTACTCCAATGCAGATCTGACCAAGCCGGAAAAGCAAATGATCGGCCATGCCTGTGGACAGTGGATCTCGGCCGAGCTGCTCCATCTCCCGCCCCGCCGCCCGCTCAGCGAGTGGGCTCGTGATGCTGCCCGGTGCAGCCTGTCAGACATGAGCTGTGATCGTGAGCAGGTCTAGACCGCCGTTCCCCCTTTTTGCATTAATAATTGCAGTATTGTCCAGGACTGGCTCACGGGTCAGTGCCCACTGGCCACCTACTGTAATGACGGTGGGGAGAGCTAGTGCCCAAGTGGGCGCAGGTCACAGGCCCACGGCGGCCAGCAGGGCCTCCTCCTGTGTGACAGATGGGGAGAGCCTGGGGATCCAAGTCCCAGCCCTGGACTCGCCTGGCCTGGCGGGGAGAAGATGCGGGCGCAGCGGGGCGAGCGCGGGGCTGGTGGGGTGTGGGCAGCACGGGGCAGCGGGTGGACTGCAGGCCCACCTGGTCTCCCCAGCCTGAACGGATGCGGGCGAGTGGGGCCGGGGAAGCAGACCAGGCCCCGGCGTACACAGCTTCAGGGCAGGAGGGGGCACGAGGGCTTTGCCCATGACAGGAGGGAGGGGGGTTCGCTCCCGAGGACAGAGGACCCCCAGGCAAGTGCCGGCGCGTTGGGACCAACGGCCCGCGCTGGGGACCAGACGATGCCCTGGGGCCTTGGGGGCATCAGCTGCTCCTCGGAGAGGGGGTGCAGCACCGTGGAGGGGCACGGACGGGGTGTGCCCCCAGTGGCCTGGGGTTTCCGCACCAGCTGGAGCCGGGGGGCTGGGGAGGGGCCGCCACAGCGTGGACGGGTGGCCGGGTCAGAACACAAGAGTCAGGAACATGAAGGAACCTTCTCCTGTGGCCTCGGCGGCGTCTGCAGCGGGGACAAGACAGCACCCGCCCGGCGGTAGCTCCGGCCAGCACCCCGCCCCAACCCTCAGCTGCTGGGGCGGCCCCTCTGCGGCAGCGTGAGGTCACGAGGAGGAGAAGCTGGACAGAGCAGAGAGGCTGGAAACCTGTGCTCAGATGCCACAAAATCATTTCAGGGACCATCGACGGGTCACTGCGCACCTCGGAGCAAACAGCAGCACTTTGCACGGGAGCAGCGCCGCCTAGAGCCACCCTGAGCCTCACCCCACTCCCCTGGGGGGTCCCCAGAAAGACTCAGCTCCACCTGCGGGCTCGGGTGGGGCGCAGCCTCGGGGGCCACCAGCGGAGGCCGGGGGCGCTGGAGGGAGCGAGTGCTGCCTCTCCTGGCCATGTGCTCAGACACCTTCCTAGACGACTGGAGACTTTACACCCACCGTGCGCCCCCACGTTCTATAAAGTGAAGGCTGGGGCTTGGGCATCTCCTGAGGCCGAGGCAGAGCGCGGGGTCGGGGTCACATTCTCGTGATGATTTTTCTGCTGTTAAACATTCAGGTGGTTTCAGTTTTTCTTGATGATAAATGCGGCCAAGCACGTCTCTAAGTAACGTTTTATTCTGTATTTTGAATTATGCCCCTAAGGCCCATTCTTTGCAACAAGTATACCCAGGCAAGGCAGGAAATAATTTCAGAGTTGGGAGTAAAACTTTGCAAACGTTTCAGAATTCCTCAGGGAAAGAGCATCCCGACGTCCGCGTCCACATGGAGTTAGTCCCCGCACAGAGATCAGCAGAGTCCACACGTATTTTATGAAAAACTTCATCTTCCTTTTGGAGTAACTCAGCAGTAGTCAAACTCCTTTTAGCTGTAGAACTTTTTCTTGCAATGCAAGGATATGTAAGGACTCAGTAGAGGAAACCCTTTTAAAGAAGTAACTTTGAGGAGAGTGTCGGGGAGAGAAGCTGGGACCACCCCCAACTCGGGCCGGCCACCTCCCTGGCAAGCCCCGAGTGCAGTGACTCAGTAAGGGCCTCCCCAGCAGCACAGCAGGTTGAGTGCAGCGCTGTGAAGCTGTCCGCAGCCTCTTCAGCGTAGGTTTGATCCCCGGCCGGCCAGGGAGCTACCCACATGGCGCGGCAGACTCTCCTGTCTCCGTGCTGCCCCCCTCAGCAGTGGATTTCAGTCCGTCTGCCTGTTCTGCTCCCCACTCTGTCTCTGGTGGATCCTCTCACCCCCTGCATCTCTGGCCTGCACCCCAGCTCTTGTATAAAAAAATAAATAAATCTTTAAAAAAAAGATTCATCATTTTATTACAAACTGTGTGCTCTGTATGCTCATTTTAAGCATTTGCTGGAAGTTCGTTTAGGACATAACTTCCTTTTCTTGCTGCACACAGGAAGAGAGGGCGAGACCGCCCGCCACACAGCACTCACTTGACTAAGCCCCCAACTTCTCAGTTTCGAGATCCTCGGGATAGAGGGAAATCCATAGCAAAGTAAAATTTGATACATCTTTTCTTTTAATGTTATTTACCATTTATCATTTTTTAAGATTTATTTATTTATGCATACAGGAGCTGGGGTGCAGGCCAGAAGTGTGGGGGTGAGAGGACGGCCCAGAGACAGCGTGGGGAGCAGGACAGGCTGACCCTCGGGACCACACTGCTGAGGGGGCAGTGGGCCCGAGGCCGGTGACTTGCTCCAGGCCTGTGGCTCCTGAGCCCCGGTGGGCCCGCCACGGTCTCGGTGACCGTTTCGCTTTCTGCCTGGACTTCACCTCTTCTTGAAATGTCCCTGCCGCTCTGCTGAGACTAAAAAGAACATTCCCAGACTTGTGGCTCAGCTACTTGTTGAAAACAAACACAGCAAAGCAAACACGCTGACGGAGTCCCTCGTGGGCTCGTGTGAGTATAAACCCTCCCTCTTGGCAGCTAATTTTTGTCTGAAACATCACTCTGAGGCTGGCGGCGGCTTGGCGAGAGCCACATGGTCCCATCCCTGCATGGACTTCCTTCCTCCCTCTGCCCTCAGAGATGGCGCCCTGGGCACGGCCCGAGTCCACCCCGCCAGGGAGCCCTGTCACGCTGGTCGAGGCGAGGAGGCGCCCCACAGGGGGTGACGCTGCAGGAAATGTGGGTGTCGCCCTCCAGGGAGAAAAACAGCAAGAGAAAGTGACCTTGTTGCCGATGCCTGCTCAGACGGGGCGGGTTCCTGGGCCGAGGGCAGTGCCCGCACGGGACAGGTGGAAGGGGGTGCCCTTCGCACCTGGCAGTGGGGCACAGCCAGGAGGCGACCACTGAGTGCCCTGAGGCAGTGGGCAGGCTGCAGCGCAAAGGCCCTGGGCAGGCACGGGACGGCTCTGGGCCAGGAGGCCGCGTGTGGCCGGGCGGAGTAGACGGCGCTCCCTGGCCCGGTCAGAGGCCTCAGGCTGTAGATGCGCAGCATTGAGGGCGGTGGAGCGACCCACGGACATCCGCACGAAGCGCGGCTTGCGCTGACCTCCCTTCGTCTTAGGGAAGGAACATCCTAGTATCTCCATGCACGCGTGCAGATGTGAAAGAAAGCACGCCCGTCGCTGCGTTACCCTCTCGCTGTATCCGTGAGCTTTAGACCAAGAGAAGCGTCAGTTTTGAATAAAGGTCATGGCGCCCGGACAGGGCCTTTCAGCCTTAGGGTCCACTCCCAGCGGCACCCCTGTTGGTGCGCGAGAGGAGCCCTGTGGTCGAGCGAGACACGGCCTTCCTGGAGTCTCAGAAGCGGCTCTACACGGAGGCCGCGAACTTGGAGAGAAAACAGCGCGCGGGGGTCTGATCCCGGCAGGCAGGGAGAACCCCTGACCTTCACTCATCACCGCTGTCAGGACGCTCCTCGGCGCATCCCGTGATGGACGCGCTCCCTCAAATCTTGACGTAAGGCTCGTCTCGCTTCTGAGGCTCTTTCCACCGCACCAGCCTCCAGAGCCCGCAGGGCCAGCGCTCGGTGCTCGCTGAGTGGAGACGCGAGGGGCTGTGAAGCAGGTTCCACACAGGCCAAACCCTAAGTGGTTTCCCGGGGCTCCCGGCCATCACCCCCCGTGGACGGGCTCAGTGGCCACAAGACGGGCCGTCGTGGACGTGACTGTTTCCTTCGCTGCAACCGAACGCCGTGTGCGACGACTTAGAGTGTCGGGATGCGTCAAACAAGGGGCCGGCCAGTTAGCTGTTTTCTGAGGCAGGAGCAGCGGGGCCGGGCTCGGGAGACGCCGGCCTGGTCCTGCCGTCTGGCGGGGCTGGGCTGGGCCGCGGCAGGCGCTGCCCCCCGAGACGGTGCCATCTGTTCTGGGGTGCAGGCAGCACCTCGCTTCACTTCTGCAGCTACAAGGAATTCCTATAGGCTTGAAAATTTAAAGACTAATCAGCTAAATATTTGATCAAAGTGATTACATAGAATTTACTCGAACCTAAACATGGTTTAGAGCAGGACACTGTGGAAAGAAGGAAAATTCCAAATAAACGTGCTGTCTTTGGCGTGACAGTGGTTACTCTGTGACTGTGTCCTTGTTTAAAAAATGAGATTTCTCTTTATTTTACAAAAAATGAGCACCCAACTTCAAATATATACTAGGTTAGGCAACCACCTTTCCTATGGCATCGGAGACTTTCCTATCCAAAAAGGTATGTGCAGAATTGCGTTAAAAAAACAGTGGCAGAAGTTTTACATACACAAGGGTTAGAATTCACGAGTCTCATTCATCAACCGAGGGCATCGTTCAGGCGTTGAAGTGTTTGCTGGTGAGCGCACGAAGACGTCTTCAAATCACTCCTATCTTAATTATCCCCATACCACAGTCATTCTACGCGTTGAGACTCTTTGTTCTTAAAGTCTAAGTGTTATTTGTACGTCTAGGTCATGATTGAGGCCAATTTGTTCTGTTTTTCATAAATCATTCATTTTAAGTGCCTGGCAATATGCTGACACTGATTAATCTTGATGCGGCTTCGTGGGCCATGTTGATATTTCATGACTTTATGAACAAGTCCTAGACACAGTTTTATGAAAACAATCAGAGCCTCTTTTTTTGACAACAGTGAAATAGGAATAACAATAATCGCCTCATGCATTTTTGAAATGATTAAATAAAATGGTTCACATGGAGAATTAGTACAGACTAAACTGTACTCAGTAACTTTTAGCCCCTAAATTGGGGAACTGTTAAAAGACCTGAGCCCTTAGGTGACCCGTGTGCACTTTGTCAAATGGCCCAAACCTTCCCGTCAACGCACAGTCAAGCCAGGAGTGTGGATTTTGTGAGCTTTACCCTTTGCTATTTCCCTTTTTAAAAATGTATTTTCAGGGCCTCCCTGGTGGCGCAGCGGTTGAGCGCTGGGTTGCAAAGCTGCCCGCAGCCTCTGCAGCGCCGGTTCGATCCCCGGCTGCTCCCCGGCCACCGGCGAGGGTCCCACATGGCGCGCAGACCTCTCCTGCCGCCCGCTGCTCCCCTCAGCAGTGTACTTCGGTCCTTCTGCCTGCTCTGCTCCCCGCTCTGGCTCTGGTGGATCCTCTCACCCTCCCGCGCTTCTAACTGTACCCAGTGCTTGTATAAATAAATAAGTAAAATCTTAAAAAAAAATTTAAAAAATAAAAAAAAATGTATTTTCAGACTTCAGGTATTTCACTGTCGCTTTCATGTCAATGTCTATGATAATAAGAGCCCTTAAACCTTTGCCCGTCTTGGTTTATTCATTTATTCTGAAAATATCGTTTCTTAAGTTATCATTTGCAAACTTTCCCTGGGAATTTATTTGTGTATTGTTTTTAAATGTATAAATTAAATAAGTATAGATACTATCCCTTTGCTGTGCTGTTGCAAATATTTTCATTGTGTTGGATTTATCTTTTTTTTTTATAGAGGCATGTTTTTATTTATTTATTATATTTGTTTGTTTGTTTTGTTTACACAAGCACTGGGTACAGTCAGAAGCGCGGGAGGGTGAGAGGATCCACCAGAGCCAGAGCGGGGAGCAGAGCAGGCAGAAGGACCGAAGGACACTGCTGAGGGGAGCAGCGGGCGGCAGGAGAGGTCTGCGCGCCATGTGGGACCCTCCTCCGGTGGCCGAGGAGCAGCCGGGGATCGAACCGGCGCTGCAGAGGCCGCGGGCAGCTTCGCAGCCCAGTGCTCAACCGCTGCGCCCCCGGGGAGGCCCCTGTTGGATTTATCTTGATTTTGATTTATTTATTTTGAAAAAATGATATAAATTAGGTCGGCATGTTGCAACAGCTCTTTTGCCTGGGAACATCTGGCCTTTCTGCTTAGTTGAAATTAGACATTTGCAAGGGCGCAGCCACTTTCATCTCCGACTTGCCTGTTGTTTTATTATTTTACACCATCAAGCATGTCCGGGCAGTAGCGAGCGCCTCACAGGAGACCCTCTCCCGGCTCACGGCGGTGTTTCCACTCGCAAACGCATCATCACGACAGGCGTATTTTTAGAAAACACGAGAGCTTCTCACTTACCTATTTTCACTCTGGAAAATTCCACGGGGCCTGGCTGCTCTCAGCGGCCCCTGCGGCCCCTCCCGCCCTCCCGGGTGTCCACGCCGGGTCCCGCCCGCGGCCTCCGAGCCTCCCCGCGGGCGGCGCCTCCCGCCCCGCCCGTGAGCGCAGGACCCGCCAGGGAGGCAAAGCCAGACGCGCGTCCCAGCCGGGCCGGGGGCGGCCACGGGCGGCCGAGGAGAGCCTCGCCGGCGGGCGGGTCCGCGGCTCCTGCGTCCGGGCAGGGGCCTCCCGCGCCCACGCGTGCCCGGCCGGGCGGCGCCCCGGCGCGGAGGGTCTCCCGTGTCTCGGCGTGGCGGGGAGGGGACCCTGGGCCCCGCGGGCGCCTGGACACGCCTGGACACGCCTGGACACGCGTCCGCTCTGCCTCTCCGCAGCCGAGGGCGCGTGCGGGGGCACCCTGCGCGGCACGAGCAGCGCCATCTCCAGCCCGCACTTCCCCGCCGAGTACGACAACAACGCGGACTGCACGTGGACCGTCCTGGCCGAGCCCGGGGACACCATCGCGCTGGTCTTCACCGACTTCCAGCTGGAGGACGGCTACGACTTCCTGGAGATCAGCGGCACCGACGCGCCGTCCGTCTGGTGAGTGGCCGCGGGCCCGGCCGAGGGCGCGGCGTGGGGGGCCAGGGACGTGCGCGGGCGCTGCGGGGCTCCCCGACTTGGGCGCTGCGCGGGCTCCCCGACCCGGGCGCCGTGGCCCAGCGGGGCTCCCCGACTTGGGCGCTGCGCGGGGCTCCTCCCCACCCGGGCGCTGCGCGGGCTCCCCGACCCGGGCGCCGTGGCCCAGCGGGGCTCCCCGACTTGGGCGCTGCGCGGGGCTCCTCCCCACCCAGGCGCTGCGCGGGCTCCCCGACCCGGGCGCCGTGGCCCAGCGGGGCTCCCCGACTTGGGCGCTGCGCGGGGCTCCTCCCCACCCAGGCGCTGCGCGGGCTCCCCGACCCGGGCGCCGTGGCCCAGCGGGGCTCCCCGACTTGGGCGCTGCGGGGCTCCCCGACTTGGGCGCTGCGCGGGCTCCCCGACCCGGGCGCCGTGGCCCAGCGGGGCTCCCCGACTTGGGCGCTGCGCGGGGCTCCTCCCCACCCAGGCGCTGCGCAGGCTCCCCGACCCGGGCGCTGCGCGGGCTCCCCGACCCGGGCGCCGAGGCTGCGCGGCGCTGCGCGCGGGCGTCCAGGCGTCGGCGGCCCCGCGCGTGTCCAGGGCCCCTGCGGACACCCGCCGCCGGCGCGGCCCCCAGGAAGCCTCCCGCAGCCGCGCGCATCGCCGTGGACAAGGCGCGTGGCCGCGTGGCCGGGAGGCGCGGGCCAGGCCCTCGGCGGGCCCGGGCGTCGGGGGGCGCGGTCGGGGGGCGCGGTCGGGGGTGCAGGGGGAGACCTCCCAGCGCGGGCGTGGGCCGGACACGACTTCGAGTTATTTAATTCCTTAGCGGTGGAGACGAGGCCGGGTTAGCCGTGCCCGGCGGACCGTGAGCTGCGTGAACCGTGTGTTCAAGTGCAGGCGGCCAGCAGAGGTGGCCACTGGGCAGGGGGAGGGCGAGGATGACCAGCATGTCCCCCGCGGCTGCGAGCGTTTCGGTCAGAGCGGGACAGCCCGTGTTCTGCGGTTGCTGAGGCCAAGGTGATGCAGTTTTCCCAGACTCAAGACTCAGAGCGCAGGATCCTCCCCCTGCGGCGTCCCTGAGAGCCGTCCGTGCAGTGACCGCTGTCAGCACCATCTTTGTTCTCAGTTTCCTTCACCTTGAGCAACACCCTAGATGGCGCGCGTTTCCCGTTGGCTGATTTTATGTTGTGACTTTGGCGTTGAGCCGTCACCACTTTCTTGAAGTCACGGTCTCCGCTTGTGCGCCAGGCACACTGGACACAACCTGCATTCCCGCTGGGCTCTGGCCTGCGGTCAGCAGCCGGGCCGGCACCCGTGGGCGATCATGTAATTGTTCACATCAGAGCGGGCAGAACTGCATCATCTATCTCTGAGTCCGTCCGTTGAGCCTCTGTGTGGTGCCTGTTTTCTGTCAGTCGTCACGGGAGACGCATGGCGAGGCCTCCCCAGATCCAACACGCCGCTGTGGTCTCAGGAAAATGACCACAACAGGAAACAGTTGGGATCTGGTCTTCCGAGGCCCACGGGCCGATTGGCGAGGGACCCCGGGGCACGGCGGGGGTGGCCGTCTCACTCCAGGCCCGCGGGCCGCGAGAGCAGAGGGAGGCGTGCTTGACCAGGCTTCCAAAAGCCGCTCCTCCCCCAGGCGGGCTCGGCTGTGTGGGCAGCGCTGAGGCCAGAGGTCCAGGTCAGCCTGAGATTAAAATCCAAACTAGCGGCTGCGAAGAGAAAGGCCCGGCACAGTGAAGCAGAGCCCCGCAGCAGGGCGAGGGCCCTGACCCACCACGACTCCCCGGGGCACGGGCGCCGCCCTCGTGTCAGGGAAGAGGGGGCAGGAGCCCCCGCCCGGCCCTCAGCTTCTCCGCACCTTCCTCTGCTCTCCACATCCCCGGGCCCCGGCCCCCACCGGTGACGGGGTGGGCCAGACTGGACACACTCGGTCGGTGCCGAGAAGGTCCTCCGTGGGTCCCCTGGCCCTGGGTCTCGGGTGGAGGGGCCCTGGTCCCCTGGTCTCGGGGCTCAGCCTTGCCCTCTCGATCGCCTTCTCTGGACACACGGTCAGCCGTGCTGATGGGCACCTTGTGGCCCCAACTGTCCTGGCTCAAAAGCCCCTCGGGGTCCCGAGCAGTGTCGCCGGCCCGTTGTCACTGCAGCCCGGGGGGCTGGGGGACTGGAGGAGGCGGCCTGAGCGCCCAGGCCCCCCCAGAGCTCGCCCTCAGGGGCGCTGGCTCAAGGACACCCCCGCACCACCCTGTCCCCAGCCTGTGCCCACGGAACACGGGGTCTGAGCTGGGCCCGTCCGGGAGTCGGTCCCCATGCCCTGCGCCGTGGGTTCGCCTCAGAGCCCTGGACCAGCCGCCGCCCTGGGAGGCCTGAGGGCAGCCTGTCCGCCAGGCCCGGGGGCCACGCGAGCCGGACGGCTCTGCCTCAGCTGCTCCTCCGGGGCGGCCGGGGAGGTGGAGCAGCGCAGCCGCCCAGGACTGCAGGGCCGGGCTGGCCACGCGAGGTGCTTTTCCCGGTTTCAGGTCGGTCTGCGCCGTGACCTTGCGTTCTGGGGTCTCGGAAAGCTTTGCCCTCCCCAGACGCAGGCGGGGGGAGGCCCTCCCTGGCTGGGCTGGTGAGGGGGGTCTCCCCAGCAGGGCGGGTGAGGGGGTCTCCCAGCTGGGCGGGTGAGGGGGTCTCCCCAGCTGGGCGGGTGAGGGGGTCTCCCCAGCAGGGCGGGTGAGGGGGTCTCCCCAGCAGGGCGGGTGAGGGGGTCTCCCCAGCTGGGCGGGTGAGGGGGTCTCCCAGCTGGGCAGGTGAGGGGGTCTCCCCAGCTGGGCGGGTGAGGGGGGTCTCCCCAGCTGGGCAGGTGGGGGGGTCTCCCCAGCTGGGCGGGTGAGGGGGTCTCCCCAGCAGGGCAGGTAAGGGGGGGTCTCCCCAGCTGGGCAGGTGAGGGGGTCTCCCAGCAGGGCGGGTGAGGGGGTGAGGGGGTCTCCCAGCTGGGAGGGTGAGGGGGTCTCCCCAGCTGGGAGGGTGAGGGGGTCTCCCAGCAGGGCGGGTGAGGGGGGTCTCCCCAGCTGGGCTCCCAGCAGGTGAGGGGGTCTCCCAGCAGGGCGGGTGAGGGGGTCTCCCAGCAGGGCGGGTGAGGGGGTCTCCCCGCAGAGAGCTGGGCGGTGCCAGCCATCACCCCTCGCTGCCCAGCACTTCTGGGGGTATCGCTCTGTCGGGGCGCCGCAGGGTGGGCTGATTCGTTTCATTTCCATCAACTGCGAGCGAAAAGACCGACTCAGCTGCGCTTACGTCACGGTCGCCATGGCTACGGAGCCATGTCTAAATGCGGGCGTGACGTCACGTGCCCGGCCCCGGGTGTTCGGTGTGGGGGCGCCGCCCGCCCCCACCGCGTGCGCCTCGCGGGGCTGTTCCGGGCCCTGCCCCCAACAGCCCCTCCTGCCCCCCACAGCCCCTCCTGCCCCCCCACAGCCCCTCCTGCCCCCCACAGCCCCTCCTGCCCCCCACAGCCCCTCCTGCCCCCCCACAGCCCCTCCTGCCCCCCCACAGCCCCTCCTGCCCCCCATAGCCCCTCCTGCCCCCCACAGCCCCTCCTGCCCCCCCACAGCCCCTCCTGCCCCCACAGCCCCTCCTGCCCCCCACAGCCCCTCCTGCCCCCCACAGCCCCTCCTGTCCCCCTGGCAGAGCGACACGGGGGCGTAGCCTCGAACCCCCTGCTGCCTGGCGGGGAGAGGAGAGGCCCGTGCGGCCCCCCCAAGCCCCTCCAGTCTCGGGGCAGCTTAACCCTGCGCCCCCAGCCGTCTCCCCTGCAGCCCCCAGCCAGTCTCCCCTGAACCCCCAGCCATCTCCCCTGCAGCCCCCAGCCATTCTCCCCTGCAGCCCCCTGCTGGTCTCCCCTGCAGCCCCCCGGCCGTCTCCCCTGCAGCCCCCAGCCGGTCTCCCCTGCAGCCCCCCGCCGGTCTCCCCTGCAACCCCCCGCCGGTCTCCCCTGCAGCCCCCCGGACGTCTACCCTGAACCCCCAGCCATCTCCCCTGCAGCCCCCAGCCATCTCCCCTGCAGCCCCCTGGCCATCTCCCCTGCAGCCCCCAGCCGGTCTTCCCTGCAACCCCCCGCCGGTCTCCCCTGGAGCCCCCCGGCCGTCTCCCCTGCAGCCCCCCGCCGGTCTCCCCTGCAGGCCCTCCCCTGCAGCCCCCGCCGGTCTCCCCTGCAGCCCCCCGGCAGTCTCCCCTGCAGCCCCCAGCCGGTCTCCCCTGCAACCCCCCGCCGGTCTCCCCTGCAGCCCCCCGGCCGTCTCCCCTGCAGCCCCGGTGCTCCCTCCCAAGGCCTCAGATGCCCACAGCCCGCTCAGGCAACCGCACCTGACCCTAAACCAGCACCCAGATTTCAGGTGGACCAGGTTGGTGAAGTTGCAGGTATTTGTTTTAATTATTTTGAATACGGAATATTTATATAATTTACTTGACGGCAGGTCACGTTTATCTGGATAACAGGCCACACTTTAGGGCCAAGCGGTGTCCAGGACACGGCCCCACACGCAAACCAACCCCCACGTCCCTGGTCGGAGGCGGCGCTCGCAGGAAGGCAGGCCCAGTGGGGACTCCAGCGGCGTCCAGTTGCGCCCTCCTCTGCCAGTGGGGCCCCCGCAGCTGACCGCATTCACTGAGACTGCGTTTCTGAGCTTTCTTGTGTCGCAGGCAATGGGAAAACTGTCCCCCTGGGAATCTGAGTTCCCTTCACAAAATGCAGAATCCCCAGTTTCGTGCCGCGCCTCTATTTTCTATTATTTTTTTAAGATTTATTTGTTTGTGCATACAAGAACTGGGGTGCAGGCCAGAGGTGTGGGGATGAGCAGGCTCACCAGAGACAGAGTGGGGAGCAGAACAGGTGTCTCCACTGAAATCCACTGCTGAGGGGAGCAGCGGGGGGCAGGAGAGGGCTGCTGCGCCCTGTGGGTATTTCCCCAGCCTGCCGGGGAATCCGACTCGTGCTGCAG